GAAATAGCAAGCCACTAGGTCCAGGACTTGAACCATGGTCAGCCATGTGGGAGTCCAGCATCATAACCACCATGCCACCTGCTAGCCCCTGTTCTCATATTTTTGATGCTCAAATCATCCTAGATCTAGGAAGAAAAAGGCTTTTCAGACTGGCTCCTGTGTTACTTAACATACTTTCGTTATAATTGAATAATTTTTTTTTTAGAGAGATTTTTGCTGTAGGGTGTGTGCACTTGCCAGAGAGACAGAGAGACAGAAATCATCCCCAGGGGGCATGCCACGCCACAATCCCTTCACCTCTAGTTTCCTCTCAGGATTTTGGGCACACATGCACATATGCTTGGCATGAGTTTGAAGCTGCCAGGCCCAGGACTTAGACCATGGCTGACCATGTGGGAGCCTAGTGACCTAACCATTACACCATCTGCTGGTCCCACTGTTGAATAATTTTTACTTTCTGCTACAAACATATGTCTTATTTCTTCCTGGCCTCAGCCATGAAATCATGCATTTCTCCAAGAAGCCCAGTTTCTTTTAATGAGGAATGGTGTTTAGAAACCAAAAAGCAGGTGCTTGTTGTGACTAGGGTGTCCTGGTTCTAGCGTCCTCAGGGACTGAGCTGGACACACACACGCACATATACCCACACCCCTGCGTTCATGCGGAGATCTCCAGTCCCAGCCCAGCCCTTCCCCTTCAAGCTCTGTAGGAACAGTAACTACTATGGTTTATTCCAAGCACACGCGTAAGTGACCAAGGCCTGGACACACAAGTGTCTCAGCTGCTAAGGGCGCATAGACTTAGTTCCTTCATCCACCTTCGAGGGCAGGAAACACGAGCAGAATTGCAAAACGGCTAAGGACTCTGTACCTCGGCCTGGTCCCCACAAGGCGGGACGTGGGAAAGCAGGGCTTGCAGGTTATGGGTGGGTTTAGAAATCCTTAGGTTAGAAATTGGTTAAATTCGCCAGTCTTTAATCTCAAAGAGACTTGGAATGCCTAAATGTAGAAAAGAGAGTGTGAATTTAACCTGAATGTGGACAATAAGGCCTTGCCACTTGTCAGGTGATGTAATATCAGGGTCGAGACATAAGGAGTTGCCCAGTCCCTAAAACAGAGCCGTCGGTCACAGCAAGATGAATGTGTGCAGACCAGACTCTCCCAGGCTCCTCGGAAGGGAGCTTTGAATGGGAAGAGTAGTCAGAAAGCTGCCTTAGCCCTCCATGTTAGCCCCCGCTCCCCTAGTGAGAACCCAGGCTCTTCTCCAAGACGTTTCCCTCCCATCCCCACACTGCTGTCGAAGGCAGCCGGCCCACAGGCTCTTGGGACTCCACAGTCCCCTCTCCCCTCGGACTTAGGGATCACGGTGCGAGCACCACATTTCGAAATCGATTGCATCAGCTCTTTTCAGCCCTTACTGTGATTCTATTAAGCACGCTACATTGGAAAGCCGTGTGTCTATCTGCTTTTTCGTGTATTCGGTTTCAATGTGTCCTCTGGTCTCACTGACCGCGTTGGCTGCCGGGACAAGATCCACAGTCCGGAGCCTGGACACCCACGATCAAGGAGCCATCAGGGTTGTTTCTGGTGGGAGTCCAGCAGTGTAACCATTATGCCATCTGCTGGTCCCATCGCAGACATGACTTCGTGTCCAGCTCCCTCTATGATACCAGGCCAGTCACTTTCCCGCCCTGGACGTGGGTCTCCTGGTCTCAGTAGAGAAGCTGATGTAGACGGTCTGAGAGCCTGCGAGCATTCTGACCCTGCAAGTATGTGAGGGGTGTGCACTGTATAGACGGGAGCTTTTGTTGTCCATGTTCTCAGAGTACCAAGGGGACTCCGCTCTTCACACTTCTCAAAGACCCCTACATCCTGGTGGCCGCAGGTAAGCCCGTGGCAGCCCCGCTCTGAGCTGGGAAGTCTGGGCTTCAACTGGCCACGGTGGCTTACAGAACATCTCCCCAGGTTCCATCTGCTTTGCCAACATGGGCGTAGCCACACTGGAGCCCACCCTGCCCATCTGGATGGTGCAGACCATGTGCTCCCCTGAGTGGCAGCTCGGTAAGTGACCTCGGCCCCACTCAGGCCAGACAGGAGGAGGGTGCTGGGGTCCTTCCTCAGGTCATTGAGTCCCAGCCATCAGCCTTGCAGTGGGATGATGTGCTTCCTCCATGGAATGACTCCCATGCCCACACCCTCGAACCGACCCCAGGGGATGGACGGTCTCACAAAGGACAGGGCGTGGAGGGAGGGGCAGGGGAGCTGGGGAGGTTGCATGCCTGGCTATGCAGTAGAGCCATGAAAGATTTCCAGCCAGAAGACCCAGGTTTCCCTTCCCACCCTGCGGTTTGCAGTTGGCTATGTGAACGTGCACAACACGTGAGCCTCCTGCGTGTGACTTTCCTCATCACTAAATCGAGCAACCAAATACTATGTCGTTCGAAGGGAAGCTGGAGGTAGCGCCTACAGGGGTGGTGGTATCACATCACACGCAACATTAATGTGCCCCGCCACTGCCGCCCGAGCCCCCTGGCTCCCAACCACCTCTAAGGACTTCTGGAGGAAGCGCCGAGGTGCTCACCTGGCAGGTGCTGTGTTCTGCACCCCAGTGGAGAGCTCTGGCCTCCGAGAGTGGCCTTTGGCCTCCTCTGCTCCCTGGGGAGACCTTGTGACTAATCTAAGCTTTGAGAGGCCACTTCTGTCCTTCCCAGGAAGTCCAGGAAAGGGGACAGAGAAGGCTACGTGCAGATTGCTCAGGCTCTGCTGGGAGCAGAGGCTCATGGGGCCAGAGGGACAGCTGATAAGAACCTGATGGAGCCCAACGTGCAGGAAAAAGCACTGAATCTAATTCTGAAGGGGACGGGTCTAGGCGAGTCTCCCAGCTGCACTTCTGGCCCCAAATTGAATTTTTCTGGGCAGCAACTGCCACTGCTCAGGACAGCTAATCGAGTTAGTCAGTGTTCAGTGCAGAGAACGCAGCCCCTGCCCCGAGGCTCTGACCGCTCTGGCCCTGGGTGCTGGAGCACAGCCACAGCTCGGAGCGGCCCCACGTCAGTGACCAGCTTGATGACAGCTGGCGGCCACTCGGTTACCGGTTACTCAGTTACCAGTCACCACAGCCTCTTACAGCTTTCCTCGGCACTGTCTGTCAGGTCTAACATCAAAGAGTCTTAAATAATGACATTAGAATCTCCCGGAGAGCTCGTTAAAACTCCGCTTGCTGGGCGAGCACCTGTGACCAGTGATTACACACGTGCAGTCCCGGAAGTTCCCGGGCGAGGCTGTGCGGGGCTGCTCTGGGACTGCACGCCAAGGACCACGACCTTCCAGGAAGAGCCTCTCTCAAGCTCATGGGAGGAGCGAGGTCCCTGAGCCACACCGCAGGGCCTGTGGTGCGTAATCTGTGGTCTGTGGCTGAGCACTTGGGACAAGGCCTACTGTGTGCTAGAGGTACACAACCCCCAATAGGGATAAGTGGCCCAAACCTTGTAAACTGGCTTGAATTCTGACCTGGTTACTTACCGATTATGATCTGGGATAAGTTATTCTAACTTTTATTTTCTTTCCC